ATTTTGTTCATACTTCATTGGCTTCCCTGATAAATCTAGATTCAAAATTTACATTTTTATAATCACCTATGAGGTCTTGAATAATCAGTCCCCACCTTTTCTTAAAGACCTCATAGTACTGGATCACCACCACAGAGCACTTTCAGACTGTTGTGCTTCCTTGGGTTTTTAAAAGTAGAATGGGACCAAGAGTGAAAACAGATATAAGATCCCTTGAAAAATTATATAATGAAACTTGTATGTTTTGGATACTTCCTAAATCAATATATGAAAGTGATGAGAAACGAGTAAATCATATAAGCCTTATATGATTCACTATATGAAGCAAGCTAAGGCTGATGCAAGTCTTTTCCTATTTCTTTTCCACATGGGTTCAGCCTCCAATCAGCTTCTGTGGAACCAGAACATTTTAGGTCTGCTTTTAACATTGGGTTTAAAACTTCCCACAATGGACTGAGTGTTTCTTCTTCACTCAGATTTTTTCACTCACTCAAATTATTTGTTTTCTTTGTATTATCATAGAGTCTTTACCTTACAGTATCAAGCACCTTGAGGCAACTATTGTTGTGATCTGGCACTAAATAAATAATAATTTATTTAATATAAAATATTATATTATTTAGTTTTTTAAATATAACAAAATCTGGTCATCGGGGAAAATTTGGTTTGCATCAACTCCATTTTCTATTTTATGCTGAAGTTAACATGAAAATGAGACTTCTGTCATGCTTATACTCAGTATGACTCAGTCTCCCCTCGCCTGCTGTAACAGCCATACATTCTACTGGGAAACAAAATTCAGCAGTGGTAATAACACCTTTACAAAAGTAATGTGTTTCCAAAAAAAGAACCTCTACTCTGTATTATTCTGTTATGATCCAAACTAACTGTGTGGCTATTGGGTTTGGATCATCAGGAGCTGCTTGTATGTGTCTGTGCTGTGTGGTGATGACTGTATACTCCATTTGGGATTACCTACTCCGGTACATAAACAAACCACAGACTACAGCTGTGCACAGAGGATGTATAAGGGGACAGGAAGGGATGATGCTGCTGCTAACAGGTGAGAAACCTTGAGAAACACTCCACAGCTCAGTCTGAAAACCAGCCCAGCCTCAGTGGAGACTCACATAGTACAAAATCCTGGATGTGCCAGAAACGTTTTTCTTTGGGGAAAAGAAAACAAACTAACAGAAAAACACATTCAATGAAATGAAAGTAGCTGTTACACATCAGTATTAACATGATTAGAAGAAGAGTCGCTGATATTTCTGGAGTACTTACATTACATTTAGATTAACTTAGATTTAAATAACAGTCCAATCACATTTTTTCTCAATCAATTGAAAAACGCAAGAACAACCAAAAACTAACATAACTGGACATTTGTCAAAGCTGGGAAGGCTCCTAAAGAAAGCTCCAGGTGATCCAGGAGAGAAGGACAAACTCAGTGATCCCGTACGTGTCAGGGGTATCAGAAAGGTTGAGACACTCTGTCTCTAAACACCACGTCTCTCTGGTTTTTGAACCCAGAAACACAAACTGGAAGTATTGGTTCCATGGGTATTTGGACACCTTCATTGCTATGAGTACTTATAACTAATTGGTGAGTCACGTAATGAGAATATCAGACGCTCAAACCTTTCATTACTTGTCATTAGCAGTGATTCTTTCTGACATTATTAATGAAAGGCAACCTTGACCTTCCCCAGCAATCTAGCAGTATGACACTGATTAAAAACCCTGGGAGAGTGACAGAGAACAGGAATTGAATCGTGTCGTCCTCAATATTTTGTGAAATATTTCAGGCAGGAGAATTATGAATGCTTGTTAAGTGAGTTACCACAGTCCTGCAGTTTAATTCAATTCTGTGTTATTTATATTAACAGCTGCTTTAAGATGCCGGCAGCACCAGTCTGTTTTTACACTGTAAAATCTAATATTCTGTTTAATTAAACATATTAAGCAGACTCAACTCAGTTTTTATCAATTTGTTATTAGAACTCAGTTTAAGTACTTTTTTCCAAAGAGCTGATTAACTCAGGTTATTTGAGTTGACTTAAATTAACTAAGTAAGCTGGAAATTTTTGCTTCTCATTGTGGAAGGATAAAACTATATGGTTTGAAAATGCCACGTCACTACCTTCCTCCTCCCTCGCAGTGTTGCCAACTCCTCAGTAAGGAAAATCGCTATTGGCTGTCCTAAAAGTTGCTAAATGATGTACGTTGTAGTAGAGAAACATAACATCATGTAAGGATGAGTAAAAAACGTTTATTTAGAACTACAGATTACATTTCTTTTAGCAATTATTGTTTTTTTTAATGTCACAATTCCAACCCTGCTCCTTTATCGGGGTTTGGACCGGCAAAAGTGACCCGAAATAGGCGCTCTGGTGGAGTTACTTTGTGTGTGTGTTTAAGTGGTTTTGAACCTTGTGATCCACAAAACAGCATAACAGTAAAAGAAGAAATGACTGCAGTACAGTCAGTGCAGGAGCAGCGGCTTCACTCATTCGCTCATTCATTTGCAGTTTGGAGGCATTGGTCCAGTGCTGGCTGGATGTCACTGATAGATAAATATATAAGAGAGTTGGGTTTGATTAGTAGAATCTTTAGTGTTTTACTGATTGAATAATTACTTAGAATCCTGCTGACATATCGGTACAAAAGCTGAGTGTCTGCAAAACGAGCAGCTTCCCCTGACTGCTTTTACCCCGTCAGATAGGTGCACATCTGAATTTGAACTGAAAATTGAATCTTTACTTTGAACATGTTAAATATTCTCATGTTAAACTCTGTGAACTGCTAAGACAGATTGCCCTCTCTTTTGGGAAGTTGGCCGCAGCCGATTGACCGCAGACTGTGGCTTCCTGGACTGGGGGGTCAACCAGTGCTTTAATACAATATAATCATAACTAAAGTTTTTTGGCTGTGATTCCTCAGAGTGGATAAACAAACATGATAACAGGAGACTGCAGTTAGATAAGAGATGAATAAATATTGCAGGGCTGAGTGAGTGAGGGTTGAAATATTGAACCAGAGCAGAGTTGATGATAGGACATGTAGAGAAGGTCGCTAGCTGTCGACAGCAGAGGCGTACGCTCAGTTGAACTGAGCAGAGTCCAGTGTGTGCAAACTACACTGGAGCAGAGTCTCAGACCTACAATGGGTTACAGGCCTGAAAAGCAGAAGCGGTGAGGTTAAAGGTTATAGACTAACATACAACAGGGTGGATGAGAAAGAAAGGCTACAGGTCCAGTGAAGAGGAGGTGGGCAGTGTGATAAACCTTCACCGTTTCACTTCTATAACTGATTAGAAATGTATTAAAATGTGTTTCTTATTTTGTATTTCTTGTAGCCATGACATGTTTCACAGTTCCTTTCAATACCTACTTTATTTTAACTCATTTGGATACCATAAGTTATCCAAACTTTTTCAAAATGACCTTCTTCAAAATTAAATAATTTAAAAGTTTCATTTAAGTAAGTGTAGGTTAGTGTTGTTTGTCATACCTGTTGCTTATTATTGGGTCTAAAATACATTTTATATTTACAAAGTAAAACAATAAAACTTCATCTTAAATGCTTTTTTTTGTCAAATCTTACAAACTAGACAAACAACCAAACTTCTAGAGATAACTTTTTCGGGTTGTTTGACACAGTGAAAATGACCCACTCTGGCAGTTTGTGGAGTGGAACTGTGGAATGGGTCTGCTGTCGCAGGCTAGCGAGCCTGGAAGTGGAAAGAGATGAAGTGGTTGAGAGGTGCCAAATTCCACCATTCCCGCCTCCCTCCACTGAGATGACCATCTCACAGCCCTGGATGTTGCTGCATTGCAACAGTGGTTTGCAGATGCCCAGACTATAATAATAATAATGGATTGCATTTATATAGCACTTTTCAAGGCACCCAAAGCACTTTACAATGCTACTATTCATTCACTCTCACATTCACACACTGGTGGAGGCAGCTATAGTTGTAGCCACAGCTGCCCTGGGGCGCACTGACAGAAACAAGGCTGCCATGTCGTACCATCGGCCCCTCTGGCTGTCACCAGTAGGTGAAGTGTCTTGCCCAAGGACACAACGACCGAGACAGATACTGGAACCGGCTCACAAACATCAATACCGTTTTAAATACATCAAAATAAACTATTGTTTACATTGTGATGGCTGCAGTTACAGCCACACATCGTGGGTAGCATCTACCAAACATCACAGCGCTACAATAGAAACTCTTACATCACACTACACTTATATTTGTCTCTCTTTAAATATAGGATTTAAGGATAGTAAAGAATTGGTTTTGGTTTAGAATTAATTTATTTCTACAATCACATTATACTGTATTCTCAGTTTATTTGCACAATGACGTAAACTAGCACCACTGAATGAACAATGGGCTGTGAGGTCATTTCCTTGATTCTGTGTTGTGCCATCCGCCTCCCCAGAGGTTGTTTGGTTTCTCCGATGTATAACTCCTGGGAATCCTCCTGGCACTTAAGAGTGTACACTATGTTACTCTATTACCGATCAACAAAGCTGCAGTCAGCTGAGACTGAAGAAGTCCCCTGATGATGATGATTCTGAAAACATCCAGATGAACAGAATCAACCTTTTGGGATAGTTTCAGTCAGGTTTTTGTGTGTTTGCCCCCTTTTTGTGTCTTTGTGGGCTGATCAGTCACTATTTAAGTTTCCTCTTTGTCTCGTTGGGGTAGGTCAGTTTGTTTGGGGTGGCAGTGTTGTTTGTTGAGTTCAGTTACTCTGACATCTTTTATGGGCCCAAGATTTAGATTTTTTGGTTTAATTTAAGTTTGTTTTTCGACTCTAAGCTGTGCCTGACTTTGCTTTACTGCTCGTCCATCACAACATACAAGTTGAAATTGCAGGACAGACTTATTTTAAACTGTTCAGCTGTTACTCAGTTGGTTAGGAACTGAGAGTTTTTGTGGTTATTTTATTTAGAAGAGGACAAAATACAACAACAAATATTCGTACCTGCTTCAGTATCCCAGCAGCCATTTCGTGGCCACAGTCAAAGATAATATGAAACTCCTTTCCCCTTTTCATCTCCTTTAAGAGTGGCTTTGCATCCTTGGTTTCTGCAGGCAGCTGCCGGATCTTTAACCGGATGTTGTACCGTGAAGGCGCCTTTATAAGCTCTTGCAAACGAATCAGACCTGTGAGAAAAAGCAGAAAGACAACACACATTTGAACAGTTTTGTTCCTCCACTATTTGCGGACGTCCATGAGGACGATCTATTTTCCAAAAGGACATTTTAAATGTATGTATCTTTCCACAATAACTGTGGTTACAACTTATCTAATTGATTTGGCAGCAGCAGTTATAATCAGAGCAAGAATAAGAAAGCTGCAGGGATGTTTCTATTGGCAGTTCTTTCTAGTGTCGTGCATTTCTCTTCAAAATCTTTTTCTTTCAGCATCGTTGTATTTCCCTCTCAGTCTCTCTGTCTTTCACAGTGTATCTGCCCACATCACAGCAGGATCAGTGTACTTTAATCCAAACACCACATATATTCGTACACATCAGTACTGCATGTAACAGTCTTCATGCATCATGAATGAAATCATAAATGTCATACATGTAAATTCAACCAGTTTTCAACTGAAGCATAAACATCTCTTGTTTTTCACATAATGAAAACATGTTTGGCGTTTTCAGGACCTCTGATTTTGTTGTTGTTGCCTGAAGTTTTGGGGCACTTTTGTGTTCTTCATTATTACTGTATTACTTTGGCAGATTATTTATTATAATTATTATTACCCATCCATGCATCCTCTCCTACTTATCCAGTCCAGCCTCACCCGGCTCCCATAGGATGACAGGCAGGGACCTGACAGATCAGCAGCTTGTTGCAGAGCTAACACAGAGAGCCGGACAATCATTCACCATCACATTCAGAGGCACCGATCAAACAAACAGCACTAACTGCTTGTCTCTGTACTGTGGAAGTAACCCGGAGTTTTACAACATGCATTTCAACTCATAACAGCAAAGTCTGGTAGTTATCCACTCAAGCTTCAGTTTTGTTGTATTTTTATCAGTTTACTTTGTCAAGTGCTGATGAATGTTTCTGTGGAGTAAAGAGTTTACTTAAGAGAAAAGCTTTTTCACTGAAACAGAGCAAATCTGCAAGATATCATGATAGAAAAAGGTTTTTAATAAAGGGTCTTTTTAACATTAATGGTAATGTATACTCAGAGTCGATCACTCCTCATTAGAATGATACAAGCATTAACCCCACGGTGTGAAGGGTTAGCTAACAGGGACAGAAAGAGCTGAGTGTTAAATTGCTATACGCTGACACAGCACAGTTTCAGACAGGACGCTTGGCTTTGGTATGATAACAGACTTTATTGTGTCAGTTAAAGCAGACATCAGCATGAAAATAAACCATCCCTGGTCACAACTGTAAGGTAGCACCTTGTGTTAGAGGGGTCTGGGTTGATAATTACAGCTGCTTAGATAAATCTGAACCAGTTACAGGCTGTTTCCAGTCCAGTCGATGTTGGTTTCTTTCAACCACAACCATAATTCTTCTGAACATTAACCAAGTACATTTTGTGCTTGGTTATGCCAAATTACTTCATTTAATATGTATGACCTGCTTTCTTTCTTTCTCTCTGTTGCCCACCTGTACAACCTGGTGTAAACAATTCCAAATATTAGGCTGCTATCCTGAAGAAGGGGCTGCAGAGCTGGAGTTAAGCAAAGAAGTAAGAACCTTTGGGAATGTGAGACAATGAGATGACTGGGCGTATGTATGTGCTTCACAGAAACATGGCTGCTTCCACAGTGCAGCAGCACCTCACTTCAGAACTTTTTGGTCAGATAGAGATGTTCATTTGAGTGGCAGGAACAAAAGATTAAAACTGTTAGTTACTGAAAGTCATGCAATCCTGCATATGTTACTATGAAGGAAGATTTCTGCAATATTGCACTGATAGCTTTTACAATACCTGCACATTACTTGCAGAGGCAATTCTCATTAGTCATTGTTATTGTTGGCTTCTTGTTTAATGACAGCCTGTATCCATAAAGGCTTTTGCAAGTTTGACAATTGAGACTTAAAGACCCTTCAGGACTGTTTTGAATCTACATGTGGAGAAGATATCATCTGTTTGACTGGATGGATCACAGACTATATTAAATTTAGCAAAAATACCACTGGAACTGTATGTTGCCTGTGAACAACATCCTTGAAAGAGTAGTTGTCAAACAGCTAACAGATCATCTGCAGAGG